AGCTACAGGTCACTAAGGGTCGGGGAACCCCAACTGATTAGGCCGGGTGAAAGTGTCTACTGATGGTGGTGAACTCGGTTTGCACAAAACCCCCTCATATAGTTTACATAGTATTTGGGGTTGAATAAAGACATACGTCCATCAAGTCCAACCCATATAGGTCCACGCATCATCTCATTCTTAGGGATACTGGTATCCCTGGATATTACGGTCCCTCAAGAAATTGTCCAAACGTTTATTGAACAAATCTACACTCTTGGCTGAAATTACTGCCGATGGCAGTGAGTTCCAGACCTTAACCGCTCTTACTGTAAAGAACACTCTTCGCCCATTGTGCTGGAATTTTTTCTCCACCAACTTTAGGTGGTGGCCTCTAGTCTTTGTAATGGAGTTAATCTCAAACAGTTTGTTGCAAATGTTGCTGTCACCATTGAACATCTTGTACATGAAAATCATATCCCCCCTTAATTCCAGTGATAAAAAAGTGATTAAAAACATCACTAATACAAAACAAAAAACATGTTGGTTTTAGTTCTCATTTAATGTTTTTAGTCTGTCTAATATTTAGCAGCATGAGAACCATGCCCACCCCCATCTACTAATATCCTGTTCTCTCTTATCCCCTGCCTGACTAGCCATGAGTTGAATCTGATCGAGAGATTGTGGTCAATAACCAACATGGAATAACAAGAGGCACCACAAATTACATCCTTTAACAGCTTAACATAACATTTGCACAATATAAATAATGACAAATGACACAACATTGTGGAAATGAATGGCTGCAGCATTTTATTGGTTTGCCAAGACAAAGATCTCAATAAATTGGATCAAAATCAGAAACTATGCATATACTATATCAACATAAGTATTACTTAGTTATAAGACTCCATAACCGACACAAGCCCGAGCTATACTTCTTATATACAGCTCTGCCATAGAATTCATTTCATACAGGAGGCAACTATAACCTAAAGTTACAATTCACTTAATAATGTATTAGCTTGTCATTAGCGGACCATTCAAAGCGCAGCCTAACTTGATGCTTTCTTTAGTCATTCTATTTTAATAATTCTGACGTCACGGTTTACATGTAATTGAACAGCGACACCTACTGGTGAAGCTCCCGCATACAGTTGACAGTTCTTTGTTTTAATGTATGTAGGTGTAACATGGCCGACGTTTAAGCTTCATTTGCGGTGTACCAATATGGCTGACGTTGCACTCTAGCTACATTTCCCAGCTTGCTCTCCACCTCTGACTTCCTATTGCCCTGGAAATACTAGTGGTCTCTTGCTGATGCTCATCATAACTTTTTAAATACCCGAGGATTCAGATCAGCTTCAAAAATGGTAAATGTAAAGTTTATTTAGTTTTCTGTGTGTGTGCATGCAATGAGCTAATTCTAGAGACTCTGATACTCATGGTATTTGTGTAAAGGACAAGCACAGGCTATTGTTGTTGCATCGCTATTATTTCATATTTAAAGTGGAACTACAGTGAGCAGCAGCAGCTCTCGCCATAATGTGCAATCATGCATAGCTTAATGGCAGACTTACTTCTGGGTTTGCTGCCCCTTCACTATCATCCCATCGCAACCTGGCGATGTAAGTTTTACACACTTTTGGCACCTAACAAATGCTGGGAGTAGGGTTGCCACCTTTTCTTCAAGCCACACCCGAACACTGTAGCGTCTCGCAGCATTTTTTTTTTAAAAGTATACACTATGCATATATTTTGTGATTAAATAGCATTGGAGTTAATCACAATGTGTCACAAATCATATGGAGTTAATCACAACTTACCAGTGTGCCACAGGTCCCCAGATATGCATTCTGTACATTAAAGATGCCAGTGTGCCACAGGTCCCTCGATATGCATTCTGTACATAAAAGATGCCTCCATAAGATGCTAGTGTGCCACACGTCCCAGATATGCATTCTGTACATATCAGGTGCCAGTGTGCCACAGGTCCACAGATATGCATTCTGTACATAAAATATGCCCCCATAAGATGCCAGTGTGCCACAGGTCCGCAGATATGCATTCTGTACATAAAATATGCCCCCATAAGATGCCAGTGTGCCACACGTCCCAGATATGCATTCTGTACATATAAGATGCTGGTGTGCCACAGGTCCCCAGATATGCATTCTGTACATAAAAGATGCCCCCATAAGATGCCAGTGTGCCACAGGTCCCTCGATATGCATTCTGTAATAAAAGATGCCCCTATAAGATGCCAGTGTGCCACACGTCCCAGATATGCATTCTGTACATATAAGATGCCAGTGTGCCATAGGTCCACAGATATGCATTCTCTACTTAAACAATGCCCCCCATAAGATGCCAGTGTGCCACAGGTCCCCAGATATGCTTTCTGATATTCTGTAATAAAAGATGCCCCTATAAGATGCCAGTGTGCCACACGTCCCAGATATGCATTCTGTACATATAAGATGCCAGTGTGCCATAGGTCCACAGATATGCATTCTCTACTTAAACAATGCCCCCCATAAGATGCCAGTGTGCCACAGGTCCCCAGATATGCATTCTGTACATATAAGATGCCCGTGTGCCACAGGTCCCCAGATATGCATTCTGTACATATAAGATGCCCGTGTGCCACAGGTCCCCAGATATGTATTCTGTACATAAATGATGCCTCCTTAAGATGCCAGTGTGCCACATGTCCCAGATATGCATTCTGTACATATATGCCATAGGTCCACAGATATGCATTCTGTACTTAAACAATGCCCCCATAAGATGCCAGTGTTCCACAGGTCCCCAGATATGCATTCTGTCCATAAATTATGCCAGTGTGCCACAGGTCAGCATCATTGACACACCACTCTCCCAGCCGAATCAGCTGCGGCCGTGGCATTCTGCTTCCTGCAGCTACACTTTACCACGGAGTGTTGAATGCCGCTGCTGATTGAGCCGGGAAGAGGATGTGTTCACCAAAAAAAAGTTTGCTAGGAAAAATGTTTTTTTTTTTTAATGCAGAAGAAACATGCAAAGTCTGTTCTGCCAAAAAAAAAAGTTCTACCTCCTAAACGTTCTACCTCCTAAACGTTCTACCTCCTAAACGTTCTACCTCCTAGCAATTATGTTTGTTTTCAGATTGTTTCTGCTTCAAGTAACTATAGGTACAGATCAGGCCGTGTTTTTTGCCAGCATTTTTATTTCCCATGTTTACAGAATGCTGACATTTAGTTCATTACAGGGTACACTGAGCCATTGACATCTGAGGTGCTCAGTCTCCAATGCCCTGGTGCCCTCCGTGTGGCCCTTTGGCACTATCTGTGCAGCCCTCGGGGGCCCCTGCAGACAGTGGGCTGTTATGGTGCTTATTTAAGTTGGTGAAGCAAACATTTTCTTCTAGAATATATTTTCTTTTTCTTGCATTTTTTCTTTTGCAATATCTTACTTTTTCTTTGCTGTCCATCCCGTATCTCTTTTTATTCTATTTTTTTTTCCTCTGATTTTTTTTAATAACGGGCCTTGCTAAGTGAAATATTGAATGGGGCACAGGTATTTTAAGAGGGCTGTAGAAAGCACAAATGTGGAGGTGCTGACTTTTGCGGCAGTAATAGCAGTGGGGCAGTTTCATATTAAATGGCTCCAGGCTATGACTGGGTCCTGAAGCATGTTCCCAAGTCCCCATTAGTGATGTGCGGGGGATGGATGCAAACCAAATACCTAATTTCACCCAAGCAAGAGCTTTCCCTGCCCCTCTGTCATAGGGTTACCACCTGTCCAGGATTCAAATGCTGCGTCCGGGTTTTATGGCAGCAGAAACCCGGACAGAAGATGTCGGGCAGACAGAGGCAACCAAAATTAAGATAGGGGCTACTGGCCCCCCACTGAAAATAGTCTGAACTTTTTACATATTCATAGGTAAATAGCGCCACCCATGAATAAGCCACGACTCATTCTCCCCAAAAAATTTGTGCGCGTCGCTAGAGTGTACGGGTTTTGCTTGAAGAAAAGGTGGCAACCCTACTTTGTCATTGTAGCTGCGGGGAGGGGGGGATGGAATACCCTGGCCGCAGCTGATTGAGCCTGAAAGGGTGTGTGTGCGGGCTCCAACATCTTTAATAACTTGCCCACAGTAGTCTTTGATCATCTCCTGTTGAATGTCTTCAGTCTCTGACACCTTTCACTGAATAATATGTGTGGCCCTTTTGTGGTATCAAGGACCAGACTGGAGGCCCCCAATATTAAGCATATAAACAAGGCAGTAGCTTCATGCATTGAAGGCATGGCCAAAAAATTAACTTCACATTTCTCCGTTCCTGGGTGTTGTGTTTTTGCTCATTTTTTTGCATTGTGTCTTGCATTAAAGTGCATTGCATTAAGGCAGCCCATTTATTTTGAATGGGCTGCCAGCCCACGTGAATGGACCAACAAGCGGACATGCAGCATTTTTTCACTATGCAGCACACAATGCGGTAGTACAACATATGTGTATCAGTGCTGCGCCACCTGGGGTGCCATTCACCGCAACGTGCTAACATACATTTCACTGCAATGCACCCGATTGCAAAGGTTGTTTCACTTCTAAAGAACATGGCTTTTAATGACACAGCTTTCCTGTCATACACACAACTGGCCAAGAGTGTGAAGCATTGGTATGGGGGACTGGCATCTATGCCATGAGCATACAGCACTGCAAGCATTAACTTAGGGTTGGCTGATTTTCTTGGATGTTTTTCTCTTCTAGAGGATCCTGAAGTAGAAAGTGAATCAGTGTTGATGGAAGTTAGTAAGCACATGGGAACCCAACTTTCACATAAGGAAGCCATGACATTAAGAGCTTCTAGAGTCTCTTGATGCAAACAGTGAGTTTAGAGGCTAAAGCCACCCAAAACAGGTACATTGGTTTTGTGTGGTTGCTGTTTAGTTTAAATCACTTACCTATTTTTTTAATATGGGTCACCAGTAGCAAGATCCCTTTGCTGCAGCTGTGTTGACACCAAGAACAGGGTTTCCAGATGGCTGTCGCCGGCGAACTCAGGTGCCTGACAGAACCCCCCCTGGACCAGTGGGATGCTCTCCAGCTGAGGCATTTCCTGCTCTCCTTACCTGATCACCAAAGACTGTCCAGACCCCTGACTTTGTTTGAACAGACCTGTAAGAAGGAGATACCCACTCGCCACGCGATATCCTCCTTGTACTCTATGATGATCTCACCCTCCCCGGAGTCCTATCCACCATTTATGGCCAAATGGGAAAATTACCTCAACACCACCTTCACACCGGCTCAGAAAGACCGCATACTACATCTCGCCCATCACTCTTCCATCGCCTCTAAGACACAAGAGCTAGGCTATAAAATAGTCTCCCGGGTCCCAACTGTCCTACACGCCATGTTCCACCAAGTCTCACCCTTATGTTGGAGGTGTCATAACACCCCGGGCACGATACTGCACACTTTTTGGTCCTGTCCCCTACTGATCCCTTTCTGGCAGGGGGTGACTGCCACCCTGAAGGACTTGGTAATGGTGGATCTGACAGACAACCCCTGTTGTCTGTCAGAAGCATGTTTGCTGCACTTAAACAATGTGTCTCTTGGGAAATAGAAAAAATCCCTGTCTCGGCACCTCCTGAATGCTGCCTGCCAGTGCATTCCACTGCTGTGGAAACAACCTAGCTGCCCTACCCTTAGGTCCTGGTACACTAGGGTAGACGAGACGTACCTGCTGGAGGATCTAACCTCCACGCTCCGGAATACCGAGGAGCTCTTCCGGTCCACCTGGAGCCCCTGGGCCCTTTTTCATGGCACAGATACCTACCATCGGGCCATGCACGCAACGCCCCCCTGAGCGGTTGGTTGGACCTATGCCCTAGGCGCTTGACACGCACCCGCCCTTCATGCTCCCTATCTCCTCTGGCACTCCCCTGCTGCTCGTCCCTTTCTCCTTTCTATCTCTCCCTCACCCCACCCCACCTGCTTGCCTTTCCATTCCGCGCCTGTCTTTTCTCTCCCTTCCCCTGGATGCCGAGCACTTACATAGCCCTATTCATCTGTTTTCATGTGCTGAGAAACTATGCCAAAGTTAAGTGGCATTATCCCTTCCGACTGCTACGATGTACAATGCCACATGAGGCCAACACTACATTTATTGCCTGACTCTTTGGTGCAATGCTCTTGCTCCTTGACAATGTTTTCTTTACTGCTCGAATTACACCAATGTTGGCTTATGCAGCGAGCCGCTGATCTTTTTCGATGAGACGAACATCCCCCTCATATCCTTATTGTATGCACTATGTTCTATGTATGCACCTCACACCCCAGATTGGTTCTGGGGATGCTGTCATGATGTTGAGGCGGAGCCTCCCTGTACTATTGTACCATGCATATGTACAATAAAGTTGACTTGTGATAAAAAAAAAAAAAAGAACAGGGTTTCGCCCCTTTCGCTGCACTCCCCATACTGTAAATGTAAAACAGCTCAATACTGAGAGTGAACTGGAAAATGTTGTGAAATTTCACCTGCAGTGAATGTTTTGTGTTTTGCTTGTCTAGGTACCGTTCAGCTCCAGATAACCAGTCACAAGATGGAGAGCCAAAAAGAAGAACAGAAGCTAACAGCTGGGGGAAATAAAAGATTTGTTATCCCATCTCAGGAGCCAGAGACCACTCCGGTGAGCCTGCAAAATACCTGAAACTGTGTGAGCTTTATACAACTTCATAGGCTTATTTTATCCTGGGGCTTGGCCATATTTAAAGGAGAACTATGGGGTTAAGACTTTTCCCCATAGTTCTCCTTAGGGTAACGGGAGGACACAAACTAGCGTCCTCCCATCACCCTAGGCTCAGTATACCGCGAGCTGCTGCTCGCGGCATACTGAGACGCCGCAGCTGAAGCGGATCCCGACAATTGTGCCGGGATCCACCCAGCTGCGTGACTGACAGCTGGCTCTGCCTATCTAGAGGCAGAGCCAGCTGTACCCGTCCCCTCCCCCGTACGTTCCGCCAGTCAGCGCTGGTGGAGCGGGGGGAATCCAGCCCCTCCCCTGTCACAGCACAGAGCCGTAACAGGATCGAGAGGTGAGCGAACACCTGTATGTGTTCGCTCACCTCCCTATCTACTGAGCCGACCTGTGACAGTCTCATTGTCACAGGTCGGCTAGAACTATGAGGTGAGTGAAAATCACTCACCTCATAGTTCTCCTTTCAGATGGAGCAGAGTAGGGCTCAGAAGCATACATTTTAAGGGTTTGTGCCAGTGGGCAAATGCAGGTTGCTTTTAGGCTTTTTCAACCAGGATTGGAGATGAGCTTGAGGTTCTTGTGAGATCATTCACAGGTGCCTTTGTTCTGCAGTTAACCACCTTCTAAGCTTTACCAACCAACTTCAAAACTACTGTACAGGTCAAGTAGCCCGTACAAGCATGGCCAAAAGTGAGTTTCACAATTAAGTTGTAGATCTGTTGAGTGTCCGCAAAAACAGACAAGTGCAGGTCTCAACCTAAGCAACTCCCTCAAAAGGCCACAGACAACCCTCCAAGGTGTTGGCATCACTACTACACCCAGCTTGAGACAAAAATACCCACTTGGACTTCTGTAAAGCTTTGCTGTGGTTATTGTTGACAGGTCCTCTTTTGGGCTTGTGTTAATAGTATGGGTTTGAGATGCTTCTGAGATCATTCAGAATTAATTGACAAGTGCATTTGACCTGCAGTTGACCTTCTTGCTAACTGCCTCAAGCAGGTTTTGCATTGCTGTACATGTCTATTGGAATGCTTGTGAACAAAAGCCCTTAATGTGTTATGTTTTTTGTCCGGCAGGTGCGTCCTTTGTTTCACGCTCCTTCATCAGTTTTGTTTCACGCCCCTTCATCAGTTTCATCAACCAACGTGGTATCAGGAGGCAGTTATGCTGATTATATTTTCAATAAGGAAGCCAAGGGCCCAGAGCGAAAGGTTGTAGATGCCAAGCTGACTTCAAGCCTGGAGCACACATCTCTGGTACCGAATTCAGGCTCAGCGCAGAAGATTCAGAAGGGGACTTTAAGGATACAACAATGTCCTCAAACCATGAAGGCAGACTCGGGGTCAGAAAAACAGCCTCCAAGTGGGATGGAAGGTTTTGGAACTGAACAGAAGACTGAAAATGGGAAGGGGGGCCCTTTCATAGTGACAAGTTCTGGTGGAGGACCATCGGCCATCAAAGATGGAAAGTCTGTTGGTGGGAAGAGCTGTATTGTGGTCAGCACACGACAGGTAAACATAAGCTTTCTTCATATGTGAACAGCTGTCTATGTCACCCATACAAACCAGTAAACTTCTGCCGTAAGCTCCATTCATACTTCCAGAAATACAGTGCCCCTCTCTATTGAACTGAAAATGCAAATGAAAGAAATCCCCAACAATAAAGCACCTGAAATGCGTACCAATGCCTGTTAAATTGCTTGAAAATGCTTTGGCGCGCAGGTCCACATACATTTTTAGGTGCAGAACCCTGCTCACACATGTGCATTTTTTTCACATACATGTTACGCATACTTTCTTGGGTTTTATGTTTCCCATTACTTGTGGTGCCACATAGACAGTTAACTGTGTAGTTTAAGGTGCATCATGGTGTGTTTTACTTATATTGTAATGTACCTGCGCTGGGGGTGTCGGTACAGTTTTAATATACTGGAGTGGATGTACATCTGCAGTTTTACTAATGGAAGTGTACCTTCAGGTAAACCGCTAAATGCATTTTTGAAATAAATATTAGTTTAGTTTTGCCTGCCAAAGGATTTGTCATTCTTGGCTCTGCTATTCAGTAATATTGCATTTACTTGCTGTTGGATAGATCAGGGGTAGGCAACCTCGGCACTCCAGCTATTGTGGAACTACAAGTCCCATGAAGCACTGCAAGACTGACAGCCACAGGTATGACTCCCTGAGGCAGAGGCACGATGGGATTTCAGGGGTGTGGACATTTTTTTAAAAAGGACTAAAGCAGGGGCCCAATCTACTTGTCCCCCATGACAATCTACTTGTCCTGATACAAAAAAATAACAAAACCGTATGTAACCGTGCGCTTCTCATTGGTCAGTGCGGTCAGGGGACAGCACTGACCAACAAGTGCTCACAATTCATGAGCGAAATTCCAAATCCATGGCACATTCACACACAATGCCCTATGCATGCGTTTATTCGCATGCAGATGGCAGGGTTGGTTTTAATTTTTCAAAATTTTTTTTTTTTATTCTTATTTTTTTTACTTATCACTTTTTTTATTTACCTTTTTTTAAATTTGTATTTATCTTTTTTATTTTTTATAACTTTTTTTATGTTATCAATTTTTTAAATTATTATTTATTTTTTACTTATCTTTAATTTTTTTTTTTTTCACTTAACTTTATTGCTATCACACAGGAGCTAACAAGCCCCTATGTGATAGCATTTGGAGGTGACAGGTTCTCTTTATTGAACCTGTCACCTCCAATACAGGAGTTTAAACAAAGCACTGTGCTGGCTCTCTAGTGACAGCTGAGATGGGAAGACTGAAAGTGCCCCGTTCCTGTCTGTGTTCACACGGAGCAGAGTGGAGAACGGATGTTCTCCGCTCTGCTCCCCACTCTCCATCCTTGGCATCGCCACGATCACTTGTACAAAATGAGTGGCGGCTTCCCCGCTGTACATTTAACCCTGCTTGCCCGAAGCAGGGCTAAATGTAGAATAAAAAACTACCCACCTGGCACCTGGAACTGCATGTCTGCATCGGGCGATAGGAATTCCACACCCCTGGATTTGTAGTTTCACCACAGCTGGAGTGCCGAGGCTGCCTACCCTAAATACATCTGGAAATCAGAGCTACAGGTAGAAGAATTTGAGTAGCTGTGAGGGGAATTTATCAAAACTGAAGCAGACAGAATCTGGAGCAGTTGTCCATGGCAACCAATCAGCTTTTCTCTTTCATTTTCAAAGCTTAACTGAACAATCTGAAGAGAGAAGCTGATTGGGTCCTAAGTCAGCCAGAACGCTTTACCTGGTGTTTGTATGTTCTTACGATATTTGTATTTTCCTCATCTGCTCCAGTTTCCACCTAAAAAAATAAACATGGCTGGTAAATTTTTAAGTGGCTTCCTGCTAGCAAGATTTGTATGAATGTGAAGGAGTCGGTGTTCTCTGTAAGTGAGCAATGGATAACATGTCACCACTGTGTACACGAGCAATGGAAACCTTCCTGCATCCTATAGCCTTGATGTGTGAAGACTTCTCTCTTTCCTACAGAGGGGCAATCCACTTCTTAAGCACGTCCGCAATATCCCCTGGGAGTTTGGAGACATTGTACCTGACTACATTCTGGGGGACACTTGCTGCGCTCTCTTCCTTAGGTGAGTCACTGTTTCTATGTTATGTTGCACAAATTGTAACATTCACGTGACATGTCACAAATGGGGATGTTCCTTTTTCTAATGCACATTTTGCAATCCATAGAACCATTGTAATTCATTGTTTATTTGGCGCACAAAATTGTGCAACTTTAATGGCGCACTGCCGATAGTTTATCTGGCCCATTGTATCCGGCAGGGCCACTGAAACCGGGATAGTTTTAAATGATATTATTGAGTTTATTTTTAGTATAGGTAAGCAGAGACC